TTTGTTCTCCCAAGATACTCAGATTAAGTAATAACCATCATTTACAATGTTTCATGAAACCAGTTTTCATCCTATTCCAAGCATATATTTCCCAGCAGATTTACCAAAGGGGAATGAGAATATTGGCTTTTCCTTCTATATAATGACTTTTGACAGGAGTTTATGTACATTATTCAAGGTACAGATTCATTCTTCTGTCAAAATAGGCAGCTCTTTAGTGATTATTGACTGACAATTATTCTCAGAAGATTACAAAACATATTTATGTATTCAATGAGCATAAAATGCTGATCAGAATTTTACGCCCTCAGATTTAATATAGCTAACAAACTCGTTCCTCTCACTTAAAGAGATTTTTAATTTAGGGACTTCCCTGGCAGGCCAGTGGCTACCACTTCATGCTCCCACTGCTTGTCCAGTCGCTGATCATGGGACTAAGATCCCACATGCCAAGTGGCAAGAAAAAAAAAAATTTAATTTAGATGAGGAAATGGGCAATGTCAAGTCAGTTTTGCAGATTATATGAATCTGATATAAATACAATTCTTATAGATTTTCATTCCTTTGCAATTAAAGGCAATTCTATCATTTGCCATTCTAGTTTGCAATCCTAATTATCATTATATATATATTTTTATTTTCAGTAAATGGCACATGTTCTGTATAGATACACTTCTTTATTTTACATCCAACAAGAGAAGAGTTAATACCTGCTTTGTTTTTGTTAAAATCAACAATACTTACCTAGCAATATATTTGTTTGGATGGTGCGGGCTAGATCAGTGCCTGGAAAACTTGAGTCACCTGAAGAGCTTGTTTAAATACAGATTCTGGGCTCCACCCCCAGACTGCCTGGTCTGGGGTGGGTATATTTGCATTTCTAACAAGCTCTCAGGTGTTACTGATTCTGTCATGTCATGGCTGTAGTTCTGAATAGCACTGGACTGGACAGCATGGGTCAGTCAGCGCTGAAACACAGGAAGAGAAGGAGAAGACATGGGGTAGGTAAAGTAGATCTTTCATATCTACTTGTCGTGTGTTGGATGGTAGCCTCCAAAAGATATGTCCACCAGGATCCTCAGAATATGACCTTATTTGGGATAAGGATCTCTGCACATCCTTTGGGTAAGGATTTTGAGATGAACTCATCCTGGATAATGTGGGCCCTCCATCCAATGACAAGTGTTCTTATAAGAGACACACACCTATCCTTCAGAACTGTAAGAAAATAAACTTTTGGTGCTTTACCACATTTGTGGTAACTTGTTATGGCAGATTTGGAAAACTGATCTATGACCAAAGTCCAGCCATATCAAAGTGCCAAGTACCCTCTGTCATATGGTTCAAGGAAAAAGGAGAAGCCTCACCCTGACCCTGACCCTGACCAGGTGGACTAGTATAACAGTGAAATAGTGCCTGCACATCACCTAATTTCTAAGCACTGTTGGATACTTTCTGACATGTTATTTAATTTAATCTTCCCTCATATGCCTTGAGGTAGTTTTTTTTTTTAAGCATTATTTAACAAAAGAAGACCCTGAAATGCAAAAGGCTCATTTAGTTAGAAAATATTTAATAAATATTTTTATTTATTAAAAACAAAGGAAATAAAAGTCTCCTTTATGCCAAGCTCTTGCTGGATGCTAGAGAGGTCAGTGACTCACTGAAGGTGACCTTGCTGGTAGGTGCCAGAGTCTAGATGAATCTTTCCAGATTCAGTGCTTATCCCCATCCACTGTATGTCAACAAAGGCTAGAGGAAGAGGCACAGTTCAGTTCAGTTCAGTTGCTCAGTCATGTCCGACTCTTTGCGACCCCATGGACTGCAACATGCTGGGACCCCTGTCCATCACCAACTCCTGGAGTTTACTCAAACTCATGTCCATCGAGTCAGTGATGCCATCCAACCATCTCCTCCTCTGTTGCCCCCTTCTTCTCCTGCCTTCAATCTTTTCAGCATCAGGTCTTTCCAAATTAGTCAGTTCTTCGCATCAGGTGGCCAAAGTATTGGAATTTCAGCTTCAGCATCAGTGTTCCAGTGAATGCTTAGGATTGATTTCCTTTAGAATGAACTGGTTGGATCTCCTTGCATTCCAAGGGACTCTCAAGATTCTTTTCCAACACCACAGTTCAAAAGCATCAATTCTTCAGTGCTCAGCTTTCTTTATGGTCCAAATCTCACATCTGTACATGACTACTGGAAAAACCAAAGAGGCACAGGGTATCTGATGAGTGTTAAACAAAGTAGAGAGGAATTTATTATCACCAACACAACTCACCCTCATTTATGGAAGTTGTCTAACAGTATTTCTCTCTACTAATACCTATAAAACAGTTTGCACTTTGTTACCTATGGTTTTTCCAGTAGTCATGTATGGATGTGACAGTTGGATCATAAAGAAGGTTGAGCACCGAAAAACGGATACTTTTGCATTGTGGTGCTGGAGAAGACTCTTGAAAGTCCCTTTGAAAGCAAGGAGATCAAACTAGTCTATCCTAAAGGAAATTAACACTGAATATCATTGGAAGGACTGATGCTAAAGCTGAAGCTCCAATACTTTGGCCACTTGATGCACAGAACCAGTTCATTGGAAAAGACTCTGATGCTGGGAAAGATTGAAGTCAGGAGGAGAAGGGGACAGCAGAGGATGAGATGGTTGGATGGCATCACTGACTCAATGGACATGAGTCTGAGCAAACTCTGGGAGATAGTGGAGGACAGAGGGGCCTGATGTGCTACAGTTCATGAGGTTACAAAGAGCCTGACATGACTTTGCGGCTGAATAGCAATCTTGTTACCTGAGTTTCATTTCCACTTGTGGCCACCCTTTTGCTTCATATTCAAATATGCATGTAATGTAAGCTGATCCTGAATAGCAAAATAGAAATAAAGTGTTACAATGTCTTTGTGGATATAGATCACTGATTTAAACAACAGTATTTCTGTATGCTTTTTTCTTTTTACTATATAAATATGTAAAGCAGTCTTGGAAAAGCTATATGAATATTGTGTGTGAAAGTCGCCCAGTGGTATTGAACTCTTTGCAACCCTGTGGGCTATATACAGTCCATGGAATTCTCTAAGCCAGAATACTAGAGTGGGTAGCCATTCCCTTCTCCAGGGGATCTTTCCAACCCAGGAATCGAATCCAGGTCCTCTGCATTGCAGGCAGATTCTTTACTGTCTGAGGCACCAGGGACCTTGAGGTTAAGGTCACAAAAAGAAGACCGCTTAATGTTTAGTATCATAATAATATGAACTTCCTGAATGTTTCATACAAATCTCCTTTGAGAGATTATTAAGATATAACTTTTTAATGAGAAATAAATTTAAATTTTCCCATTTTACCTGTAAATTCTTCATCAGGTTTCTACTTGTAATTCTGTTTCTCTGTGTATAGTTTAAGGCTAAGAGTTTGGTATATACAGGTTAAGGACTGTTATATTTTGATGGTAGATTGTTTCTTTTAGCATTAAGGAATAACCTTTTTTATCTTTGATTATGCTTTTTGCCTTAACGTCTGCTTTTTTCTAACAGTAGTATTGCTACACCAGGTTCCTTTTGTTATTAATCATTAATATATTCTGTCTCCTTACTTTCAATTTTTCCAAGCCACTGCATTAAAAAAATTTTTTTACCTTCATTCTTGCCAGGAAGGTGTAACTTAATTTTAAACCGTAAAACTCAGTGGTTTTTAATATATTAACAGTTGTACAAGCAATACTGCTATCTGATTTCAGAACATTTTTTCTTACTACCAAAAGAAAACCTGATATTTGTTAGGAATCACTACTTATTTCCACATCCCCCAGTCCTTGGCTTCACTAATGTACTTCTGTGTCTGTAGATTTGCCTTTTCTGGGCATTTCAAATAAGTGAAATCATTCAACATGTGGCCTTTTGTGTCTGACTTTTTTAACTTTTTACTTTGCATAATGATCTCAGGATTCATCCATATTGTAGTGTGTGCCAGTACTTCATTATTTATAAAAGCTAGATCATATGTCATTATATGGATAACCAGGCTTCCCCAGTGGCTCAATGGTAAAGAATCTGCCTGCAATTCAGGAGATGCAGGAGATGAAGGTTCAGTCCCTGTGTCAGGAAGATCCGCTGGAGGAGGGCAGGGCAGCCCACTCCAGTATTCTTGCCAGGAAGATCTTATGGCCAGAACAGCCTGGAAGGCTATGGTCCTTGGGGTCACAAAGAGTCAGACACGACTGAAGTGACTGAGTACACATATGGATATACCACGTATTAGCTATCCATTAATGGACATTTAGATTCTGTCTACTTTTGGACTATCATGAATAATGCTGTTATTCACATTTATAGTTTCATAGTTATGACCAGACACAATCTTTTACATGAGTATATCATTCGTTTATGTTGGGCATATACCTAGGAGTGGAATCGCTAGATCATAGGGTAACTCTACACTTAGCATATTGAGGAATTATAACACTGTATTCCACAATGGCTCCCCCATTCCACATTCCCACCAGCAGTGTATGAGGGTTCCCATTTTTCCACTTCCTCCTCCTTGTCCTTGCTGAGACATTAAAACCCCATCCCAAGCCCCTTTGACCCTTTCCTGGTACAGATTCCCTGGAGGCCTTCCACATGTCAATTCCCAACATACAGATTTACATTCCACATGTTTCTGGCAACTGATTATTTCTTTCTTTCTTTAAAGATCATAAGTGTATTAAAATTTAAAAGCTGTCTTATTTAGTGTTTTTCTATGTTCGTGAAGTGAGGAAGGGAGAGTCTATATAAGGGTAGGCATTTGTATAGGATCAGTCGACTGTTCCTGGAAGTTGAGCAGGTCAGTGCAATTGCAGCAATTGTTGACTTGGAATTATAGGTGTGTTTAGAGCTGGGAGCCAGAGTTTCTCTTCTGGGCTAAATTACTCAGACTGTATAGGATCCATTATTATGCTGAGCTCATCATATCCCACGTGAACTAACACATCTTTTTGCTAACGGTTATTTTACAGGTGCAAATTTCCAAAAATAAAACTGAAAAGAAAAATCCCAAATTTGGAAAAAGGAAAAGGTATGTTTTTTTAAATGAAAAATCATTATGATAAAATTAAAATATATATAGGGTTTAATTTTTATATGACATTCCCCTGATTCTTTTTTGAAAATTTATTTTAGTTGGACGCTAATTACTTTACAATATTTTAGTGGTTTTTGCCATACATTCACATGAATCAGCCATACGTGTACATGTGCTCCCCATCCCCCCTCCCACCTCCCTTCCTATCCCATCCTTCAGGGTCATCCCAGTGCACCAGCCCTGAGCACTCTATCTCATGCACTGAACCTGGACTGGTGATCTGTTTCACATATGATAATATACATGTTTCAATGCTATTCTCTCAAATCATCCCACCCTCGCCTTCTCCCACAGAGTCCAACAGTCTGTTCTTTACATCTCTGTCTCTATTGTTATCTCACATATAGGGTCATTGTTACCATCTTTCTATATTCTATATATATGCATTAATATACTCTATTGGTGTTTTTCTTTCTGACTTACTTCACTCTGTATAATAGGCTCAAGTTTCATCCACCTCAATAGAATTGATTCAAATGCATTCTTTTTAATAGCTGAGTAATATTCCATTGTGTATATGTACCACAGCTTTCTTATCTATTCATCTGCCGATGGGCATCTAGGTTGCTTCCATGTCCTGGCTATTGTAATCAGTGCTGCAATGAACATTGAGGTACACATGTCTCTTTCAATTCTGGTTTCCTCAGTGTGTATCCCCAGCAGTGGGATTGCTGGGTCATATGGCCATTCTGTTTCCAGTTTTTTGAGGAATCTCCACACTGTTCTCCATAGTGGCTGTACTAGTTTGCATTCCCACCAACAGTGTAAAAGGGTTCCCTTTTCTCCACACCCTCTCCAGCATTTATTGTTTGTAGACTTTTGGATAGCAGCCATTCTAACTGACGTAAGATGGTACCTCATTGAGGTTTTGATTTGCATTTCTCTGATGATGAGTGATGTTGAGCATCTTTTCATGTGTTTGTTAGCCATCTGTAAGTCTTCTTTGGATAAATGTCTGTTTAGTTCTTTGGCCCATTTTTTGATTGGGTCATTTATTTTTCTGGAATTGAGCTGCATGAGCTGCTTGTTTATTTTTGAGATTAATTCTTTGTCACTTGCTTCATTTGCTATTATTTTCTCCCATTCTGAAGGCTGTCTTTTCACTTTGCTTATAGTTTCCTTTGTTGTGCAAAAGCTTTTAAGTTTCATTAGGTCCCATTTGTTTATTTTTGCTTTTATTTCCATTACTCTGGGAGGTGGGTCATAGAGGATCCTGCTGTGATTTATGTCAGAGAGTGTTTTGCCTGTGTTTTCCTCTAGGAGTTTTACAGTTTCTGGTCTTACATTTAGATCTTTAATCCGTTTGAGTTTATTTTTGTGTATGGTGTTAGAGAGTGTTCTAGTTTCATTCTTTTACAAGTGGTTGACCAGTTTTCCCAGCACCACTTGTTAAAGAGGTTGTCTTTTTTCTATTATATATTCTTGTCTCCTTTGTTGAAGATAAGGTGTCCATAGGTGCATGGATTTATCTCTGGGCTTTCTGTTTTGTTCCATTGATCTGTATTTCTGTCTTTGTGCCTGTACCATACTGTCTTGATGACTGCGGCTTTGTAGTAGAACCTGAAGTCAGGCAGGTTGATTCCTCCAGTTCCATTCTTCTTTCTCAAGAATGCTTTGGCTATTCGAGGTTTTTTGTATTTCCATACAAATTGTGAAATTATTTGTTCTAGTTCTGTGAAAAATACCGTTGGTAGCTTAATAGGGACTGCATTGAATCTATAGATTGCTTTGGGTAGTATACTGATTTTCACAATATTGATTCTTCCAATCCATGAACATGGTATCCATCTATTTGTGTCCTCTTTGATTTCTTTCATCAGTGTTTTATAGTTTGCTATATATAGGTATTTTGTTTCTTTAGGTAGATTTATCCCTAAGTTTAAGTATTTTATTATTTTCGTTGTAATGGTGAATGGAATTGTTTCCTTAATTTCTCTTTCTGTTCTCTCATTGTTAGTGTATAGGAATGCAAGGGATTTCTGCGTGTTAATTTTATATCCTGCAACTTTACTTTATTCATTGATTAGCTCTAGTAATTTTCTGGTGTAGTCTTTAGGGTTTTCTATGTAGAGGATCATGTCATCTGCAAACAGTGAGAGTTTTACTTCTTTTCCAATATGGATTCCTTGTATTTCTTTTTCTTCTCTGATTGCTGTGGCTAAACCTTCCAAAACTATGTTGAATAGTAGTGGTGAGAATGGGCACCCTTGTCCTGTTCCTGACTTTAGGGGAAATGCTTTCAATTTTTCACCATCGAGGATAATGTTTGCTGTGGGTTCATCATATATGGCTTTTATTATGTTGTGGTATGTTCCTTCTATGCCTGCTTTCTGGAGGGTTTTTATCATAAATGGATGTTGAATTTTGTCAAAGGCTTTCTCTGCATCTATTGAGATAATCATAGAGTTTTTATCTTTCAATTTGTTAATGTGGTGCATTACATTGATTTGCAAATGTTGAAGAATCTTTGCATCCCTGGGATAAAGCCCACTTGGTCATGATGTGTAATATTTTTAATATGTTCTTGGATTCTGTTTGCTAGAATTTTGTTAAGGATTTTTGCATCTATGTTCATCAGTGATACTGGCCTGTAGTTCTCTTTTTTGTGGCATCTTTGTCTGGTTTTGGTATTAGGATGATGGTGGCCTCATAGAATGAGTTTGCAAGTTTACCTTCCTCTTCCCCTGATTCTTGATTCTGTTTCTGTAGGGAAATATGTTGTAAATTTTCTAAAAGAATTAATAATATAAGTAGTAGTCTTAGAAGTATGGAGAAAGTTTTATGTTTGTACAGATGTATTGAATTGTTAGTTTCAAAGATTAATATCATGTGAGCAACCAGATGAGAAACAGGTTTTAAATTTAAACATAGGTAGTACAAACCAGAAACAAGCATTTATAATAAATCATGGATAACAAGTTTTAGTGTTTATCATTGAACCAATTGTATAGGTTTTTTATTTTTTTACTGAATGGTAAGCAGTGCTATGTGAAAAGGAGTCCTGCTTAAAGACAAAGACTGGCTTGATATAACAGTCCTTCTTTTCTTTTTTGTCCTTTTTCTGAAGATGAATAATTACATTTTATAAAGGACTTTCACTTCCTAATCTCAGTTACCCTTCACAGTAACCCTATCAAATAGATACGAAGTGTATCATAATTATCTCCTTTTAAAAGATAAAGAATTTGTGACTTAAAGAAGTTACATGACTTTCTTAGGATCTTCTGGTTAGAGAAGATGTGCATGAACAAATGTTTTCTGACTCTAAATCAGCAACACAGTATACTGGGAAAGTCATGGATTTTGCATTTTGACAGAATTCAGTTCTGTCATGTTCAACCATTTTCCTATGTTGTCAAATTTCTCAATTTCTCAGGGCCTCAGTTTCTTCATAAAATGAGAGTAACAATAATTTAGTATGTTTTGGGGGGAGGAATATATGAAATAGGCTATGTAAAGTGCTGGATAGCTTGTTAGTGGTTCTCACCTAGTGAGAGCCCAAATCAATATTATTCCCCTTTGGTTTTTCACTGCCTTCCTTACTGTGTAAATTAACCAAAAAAAAAAAAGATACCTCAAGGTAAGAAATATATATTCATAATTTACTGTTGCCAGTATTCATGAATGATCATTTAAATATACATGCTGTTCTTTAGAAAATAAATCTATCAAATTCTTTTTCCAGGAAAGCTGTTTTAAAATCCTCTTTTGAAAATGTTTGTTCAGATGATGCCTTATCAAAAGAAAACATGGGTATGTGAAGGCCTGTCTTGCTATTAGTTCTTTTACCTGTATTTAATTCCACCAAACGTAATTGTAGTCCTTTGAAGAAAACAAAATGTACGTGTATACGTATATGAGAAACATTAGTGGCATTCTGTCATTAATTTACATACTAGGGCTTTTCCATTGTGTTTAAATTTCTATCCCCTCAAATTAAATTTTGTCTGGCTTTGTCATATGTTTGATTTTTTTTAATAAAGCACCAGCAGTTATAGGAGGAAATACCAACATCAGTACATTTCAATCTAGTATTCTCTATTCCACATTTAGTCAGGGCTGCCAAAGGAGGAGAAGGAGGAAAAGCAGAGCCTGGGGCTCCCAGCTGAACTTGCTGCTGTGGGTGCTAGAGCACTGTAGGGAGAAGGTGGCCTGCAGGGGGAAAGGCTTTGCTTTCAGAACCACTTTACTCTTTCTACATTTTCCTTGATCTTGAAAAGAGGCACGTGCTTGTTTGCAAGGTGGAACTTTGGCAGCCACACCAAGAGGTTTCATAGCCGATTGAACCCAGAGAAGCTGTCGGGCCTCACTTCCTCTCCTGTAGCCACCCCCACATCCTGTGGGGCTAAATGCGCCATTTGTACATAGTCTCATGGAACAGAAGGAAGGACAGGGTGTGTTGTCCTTTATTGGACTGCAACCTGGTGGTCCGGAGTTGACGATAAGAAAGTGAGAGAGAGAAAGAGGCTCATATCCCCTGGTTTAGCGGAAAGCCAGTAGAGTCCTATTAGGGCTTGCGCTGCTGCACGTAGGCACCAGGCGCCCTCTCAAGTGGGTGAAGGCACAGTGTGCCGTCTCGAGAGGGTCTTAGAAGCCCGGGCAAGAAAGTGAGCTCAGCGGGCCTCCGCGCTCCAAGGAATTAGCCAGAAATAGAGAGATAGAGAGAGAGAGAAAGAAAGACACGGGGGGGGGGACCCAAGCTCTGGTGAAGCAAAGGTGTTTTAATCAACATGGCATGGGCATATATACTGTCTTACAAGGTGGTTATTCTCAGCAAAGATTAAGATTAAAATTCCAGATTTACAAAACATAATAGGATCCCTATCAAAGAGAGAGTTGCAAACAATCACCTTTTCATAAGAAGGAAGAGGGTACTTATCACTGTAATGAGAAATGCCTGGATTCCTCAGCCCTGGGAAAGGCGTGCCTCTCCTCTTAATTCCTGAATATTCAGGAATTAATAAGGGCCAGAGGGTTCCTGACAGATCTGAAACAGCACATAGGAAGCCTCTTGTTAAATGCTTCCTGACAAGAGTGGTTATTTTATATTTCTCTTTTCTCTCCTAAACCACTACAGAGCTCTGTTGTTCTCTTCTTAAACTTGGTCTGCTGCTGCTTTCCTGCTAATTAAGGTGCCTCCTTTTTTGGTGGGGGGAGTGCAGCTTTGTTCCTTTGCCTCACATGATCAGCTCACATATTCCCGTAAACAGAAGTCATTTTATCCCTAGAGTGAGTTCCCACTAGGTGACCTGACACCACAGCTGGGTCCTCCTCCCCTCCAGCTGGCACAGGATCCTACAGGAGAGACCCTAGGGCAGCAGGGACCCATGGACCGGAAGTGACTGCCCGTCAGTAGTCTCCTTGCTGCGTGGCTCTGAAAGCCTCAGTAGTTCTCTGTTAGAGTGGCTTCCCTGGTCTGTGTCTCACTCCTCCAATGCCATGTGAACTGAAGAGCAGAAGCGTCTCATCTTCTGTGTTCTCTGTCCACTTCCTGAAAGAGTGGTGCTTTTTCAGTAGTTTGCATCCTCTTCAAATTCTTTATTCACTACTCATATTTCTGTGGCTTCTTTGATTCACGTCTCTGATGTCTCTCATTTCTTCTTAGCTTAAGGTAGAATCAGTCCTAGATCAAACAACAGACAAAAATGATAGCATCTGGCTCTTGAGTCTCAGCTCCACTTTGGGGTCCTCTTTCTTTACACTCTGGGTGCTCACATCTCCCCTTTTTCCGCTGCCCCAGCTGTGATGTGCCGTCTTGGCTTCATGCCCTGCAGTTGCTTCTCTCTCCCTTAGTTCGAGATCCCAGGGAGAGGCAAGTACATGTAACTGCCCTACCTTTTCAGACGTCAGTTTCTTCATCTGTAATAAAGAAAATGCAAGAGAAGCTGTCTTCTCCAAGAAAGAGAGGACTGTTTCTGGAAGACAACAGAAAAAGTTGAGGGATCATTTCATAAATGATTAAACTGTATGTTCATGGGTGTGTAAAGATTTAATCTAATGCTGGGATGGGAGATAAATTATGAGTTTGGGGTTAACATATACACACTACTGTATATGAAATGGATAAACAAGGACCTATGTATAGCACAGGGAACTGTACTCCATATTTTGTAGTATTTTCTAATAACTTATAATGGAAAAGAATCTGAGAAAGAATATGTATGTGGGTGTGTGTATAACTGAATCACTTTGCTGTACACCTGAAAAAACACAACATTGTAAATTTACTACAATTTTGAAAAATGGTTATAAAAAAGGATTTGATCTAAGAGATAACTGTTTGTGGAGTATGTCTGTATTTTTTGGGAAATTGCTACCAGGAATATCTCATATTATATTTGATTGTCTCTGTAACCCATTTTTTTTTTCAGTATTTAGGAACCAAAAACTCCATCTATGATGGTGAAATAATAATAGAATAATAATGATACACCTGATACACCTGTAACAGTTACTGTGTCTTCACTTTTCTAAAAGTTTCATATATATTAGTTTAATCTTCACAAAATCTATATGAGATGAATAAGGTACATTTTATTATAATTCCTATGGTATCAGTGGAGAAACAGAGACACTTAATAGGTTATATGCCTTTTCTAAGGTCACATAGCTTCTTAAAATTAATCAAAGTTTGCAATATTTCCTTGGTTGCTTTAACAGAAGCTTAAAGCTAAATTTATGGTTTTTCAGTGTGGCTCAGTGCTAAAGAATCCGCCTGCCAATGCAGGAGACACAGGTTGGATCCCTGGGTCAGGAAGATTCCCTCGAGTAGGAAATGGCAACTCACTCCTGTATTCTTGCCTGGAATTTCCCATGGACAGAGGAGGATGACGGGCTGCAGTCCATGGGGTCACAGAGTCAGACATGACTGAGCACACATGCAGTCACAGTCACATACAGCACTGCTAGTTGCTCTAGGCATCTTTTTAAAGTGTAATTATTGCCCTTCATATCCCCCTTAATGAACAGATTTTTACTTCTCTTATTTTTAGCCTTTGAGCTTTTGTCACTTGTTTTATTGTATCAGTGTTGTCTGATAGTAAATACCTCATTGCTCTTTGTGGAGTAGGCAGTCTCTAGAAGTTTTAAGAAAAGATGAACATATCATCAGTATCAGTTGAGTCACTCAGTCGTATTTGACTCTTTGCAATCCCATGGACTGAAGCACACCAGGCTTCCCTGTCCATCACCAACTCCTGGAGCTTGCTTAAACTCATGACAATTGAGTCGGTGATGCCATCCAATCATCTCATCCTCTGTCTTCCCCTTCTCCTCCTATATTGACATATAACCCTGGATTAGTTAACAGTCTACTAACATTCATGAGTAAATTAGCAAGGGATGTGTTCATCATCCACCTGGGACAGGTGAGCATGGCAGAGAATGGCTGATACAGAAAAGGTCTGGATGATGCCTGGATGAGCCTTAGGCCTGGGTGGGGGCAGAAGGCTGACAGGGGAGAAGGCTGCTATCTTGCTGTTGAAGGCAGACTTGGCCTGCCTGCTCTGGGTTGGGAGTTATCTTTATCCTCTGGGCCCTCCTGCCCCCCATGTCTGTTCTAGGCAGGCACCTTCTTCATTCACTTGAGCCTGTAGTTCCCTCATCTCTACATTTACATCCTAAGCTGATAGAAGAGGCTTTGTGGTTACTTGAAAACGAATCAAAACCAAGTGCTTTTTCCTCCTCTTCACCCTGCTCCTCTGGAAGAATGGCTTCAAAGTTTCAACATTGAAATGGCCCTGAAAATTTATTTAAGATGCTGTTTTTCAGTGCCAAGTTTGAAGTAACTGAACCAGTGGCCTCTTTATATAAAAGAGGAAATAGCTTCTTTAAGCATTTAATAGAGAAGTAGAGAATAAAGAAAACTTCATAAATATATTATACATTGATGGCTTTTTCTAAAATAGTGACTGATTTATTGAGATAAACAGTAAGTTATTTCTTACCAGGAATGAAAAACCAGCACTAATTTATTTTATAAAAATTCATTTAAAAAAGCCAGATTCATACTTCAGTGGGAGAGATACCTTTTTTTCTTTTTTCTTTATTTTTTTCCTCCCACTTTTTCTGAGTGATAGAGCAGCTGTAATGGTACCACTTTACTCTCGACAACAAATTGAAGCAAGTCAGGAAAACTACCGGATAATCAGGATTGATAGAAGATGATTGGTCATGCAGTCAGCACAGGCCTGCGTTCTGTCTCTATCTTTGGAGATCATTGACCAATTTTGATAACCTCGTTTGTAGATTACAGTAACTGCAATTTCTGAGAATTATTTTTGGACTCTGTGTTTACAGTATAGGAATACCTTTTAGAAAAGCAAGCCTCGTGTTGTTCTGAAAGCAGAGTTTGACATCAGTCAAGTTGGTGTTATGAACCCTACTTAGTTTATGAAGCCATCCATTACTTCTGTCTACCCTTTGATCGAAAGGCAGTATACATGTTTTTCCAGATCACTTGAAAACAGAGAGCCTGCAGTGGCACTCGGCAATGACATTCATTATCATAAATTGATTGTATTGTAGTCTAGCCTTAGAAATATAAGGGCTTCCCTGCTCTCTCAGCTGGTAAAGAATTCAGCTGCAATGCGGGAGACCTGGGTTTGATCCCTGGGTCGGGAAGATCCCCTCGAGGAGGGCACAGCAACCCACTCCAGTATTCTTGCCTGGAGAATTTCATGGACAGAGGAGCCTGGCAGGCTATAGTCGTGGGGTCACAGAGAGTTGGACACGACTGAGCGACTTTCGCAGACAACTTAGAAATATAAAGATGTTTGTGTACCATTTTTCCTTCCAGCAGAGCTCAAAATTCGTCTTCTCAACAGTGCATTAAGTGTCACTATCAATTTTCATAGACTCAGAATGTAAAATAGGAAAACACAACGTCCATGAGTGGGGCTGGGGAATTGATGTGAAGATAGTCACACTCTTGTTGTTAAGTGACAAGTTTCTAAGTAAGAAATCTGTCACAAAGAGAGGTGACTCTCAACACAACTGCTTCCATGAAAATGGACTTTCCTGTAGAAAATTCTAATTCAGAAGCCATGGTGTTGCGTTCGTATTTTTTAATCATCTTCAGATGATTCTTATGCCCCAGATTTGGAATACTGTTGTTCTAGAATGTGGTAGCTTATACTCTGTGTTCTTAGGCATTAGCAGTTACCACAGAACACAGATCTGTATGCTTACAATTCACGTGTAAGTCACGGTTTTTTGTTTTTGTTGTTTTTGAACGTAGGAACTGATTCTAAGGTGTAGAATGGCTTATCAGAAAACTGCTTTCAAACTGTTTTGAGAGTTTTCCATAGAGGAAATCTGAGACTGGCTGGGTGAGGATGACGCCCAGGAGGGCTCACGGGCCTGTGGCTCTTCTCTCAGGTCCTTGGCCCTTAGAAGGCACACAAGAAACATTTGTCAGTTGAATAAAAGAAAATGGTAATAAAAATGGATTCTTTTGAACTGGAATGTTTCACATTAATAATCTCTGTTTATTACCCTTATAACATGCCTAATTTATAAGGATACCTGTCTGTGTAAAACTCACACACACACAAATGGATGGATGTGTATATCATATTACACAAATTAAAATTATTATTATTGCTGGGAACACCTTGCTTCCATATTCACTGATAATATTTTAGCCCTGAAGGGTGTGCCCTGCTTGGGTTTCCATGAACTTTTAGCTGCTCTGCATCCCTGATGTGGTTTTTGGTGACCTGCCAATGAGTAGCAGATGATGGGGTGTATGTCAGATTTGTATAACCAGAGTGGAAGATGATGGGGTGTGTTTCTTTCTCTCTGAGTCATGCTGCCCTTGAAAGACTTTTCAGGGCCCCATCTGTCTGCTGTGCAGGAGCAGGCCACTAGTCTCCTCCCTTGATCTTTACTTCAGAAAGATTCGGTATCAACTGAAAATATTTGTTTTATTTAAATAGGGAACTCATTTGATATTGTTAATCAGCAATCGGCTCTATAGAGTTATATTATATATTTATATCTTTGTTGGGAATATTATCTTAGATCAGCAAGTTTGATGAATTACCGGATATTTTGCTTACTTACATATTTCTGTCACAGTAGCAGAAAAATCGCACAGCCATTATAAGTGTATGAATTTTTTTAAAAATTAGATTAGGCAGTTGAGATGCATTGATATTTTGATTAAGAATAGACTAGGGCTTCCCTGGCAGCTCAGATGGTAAAGAATCTGCCTGCAATGCAGGAGAACTGGATTCGATCTCCTGGAGAAGGGAATGGATACCCACTCCAGTATTCATGCCTGGAGAATTTCATGGACAGAGGAGGCTCGCGAGCTACAGTCCCTGGGGTCGCAAAGAGTCGGACATGACTGAACAACTAACACTTTCACTTTACATTTTCAGCCTGGATTTAGCCTTGACACTTAATTATGTGGCTTCCCCTTTTAAACAGTAGTTTTAATAGTTTATTGCAGGGCTTAACAAATTGTGGCTCACGATTATCAGCTGCTGCTTGTTCTTGTAAATAAAGTTTTATTGGGACACAGCCACTCTCATTTGGTTGAAGGTGGCACTGTGGTAAAGAATCCCCCTACCAATATAGGAGGCACAAGAGACACAGGTTCAATCCCTGGGTTGGGAAGTTTCCCTGAAGGAGGAAATGGCAGTCCACTCCATTTTCCACTTCCCTGGAAAATCCCATGGATAGAAGAGCATGGTGGGCTACAGTCTGTGGGGTTGTAAAGAGTTGGAAATAACTGAGATGCACTCACGTATGGTTTGCTTTCCAACAGCAGAATTGAGTAGTTGTGATGGAGACCATCTGGCTCACAAAGCCTGAAATATTTACTCTGTCCTCCTTCACAGAAAAAAAGTTGCTGATTCCTGGTCTATAAGTAACAATTTAATTTGGTGCCCTTGGCTTCTTATTTTAAAAATACACATGTACACCCATGGCTGATTCATGTGAATGTATGGCAAAAACCACTACAATATTGTAAAGTAATTAGCCTCCAATTAAAATAAATAAATTAATTTTAAAAAATAAAAATAAAAAATAATTTAGTGTCAGGGATACTTATAGTCTACATATAGTAAAAATGTCACTTACATTTGCCAAGGAATAATTATAAAAGATTCACCTGGAAATCCACAATAATTTTGCATCAGGGAGAGACTATAACTGAAAGTTATGCAAAATACTTTTTATCTTGTTCAGTTCAGTTCAGTCACTCAGTTGTGTCCGACTCTTTGTGACCCCATGAACTGCAGCACGCCAGGCTTCCCTGTCCATCACCAACTCCTGGAGCTTGCTCAAACTCATGTCCACTGAGTTGGTGATGCTATCCAACCATCTCATCCTCTGTCATCCTCTTCTCCTCCTGCCTCATAACATTTAGAAAATGTCCTCTTTGAGGGTGGTTAAGGTTATGAATTAGATAGAATTAATTAAGGTGTAGGGTTTTTTTTTCACTATATTAACAACGTTTCTTTAGTTGTCTCTGAGACAGAATTTTTACTGAAAGAGCTGGAGCAAATGCTAGAGCAAGCTCTGGAGCACACAACCACCCACAAGAAGTCTGAAGAGGAGCACGGAGAGGAAGCGAATATAGGAGAAAAGGTAGGATCCATAATGACCATCGGGCCTAAAGAGCAACGTCAGATCCTTAAATGGCAGAAATTGTTCCCGGATATTCATTTCCATTATATGGGAAATTCCTTTCACTTCTGAAACTTGAGCCCTTGGTTATCATGAGGTGAACAAGAAACTAGTAGCCTGTGGAGAAATTAGAATGCTATCAGTCTTTAAAAAACTACACTTGAGCCAAGGAGCTGTTTTATTTTGGGTCTTTGGGGCTGGAATGAAGTCACTGACACCAAGGAGGTGCTGATCTTTGCCTTCAGGAGAAGCCCCAGGACAAGGGGCCCCCTGGAAACCTGCCCTGCCGGTCATGCACAGGGCTGACCTGCATGGGGCATTTTTTACCAGACTCTATTTCACCATTCTTAACTGGTTGTCTTTTTTTTTTTTCTTTTGGCCAGCCATGTTGGGCTGAGAAAGGCTCTGTGTGCTTACTGCATTCAATACTTAACCAATGACAGCAGAAATTTTAAGTTGGTTGACACATTGCTCAGCACTACAGCAAGCCCAGGTCACTCACACAGAGCAGCAGGGTAGCAGGTGTGAAAGGAGTCAGCCATGAGGCTGATGCTTACACAAGGTGGTCCAGCTGTCCCCTGTGTAGGTAGGAGGGGAGTGGCAGTGAGCAGCCCTGGATCCTTCTGATTTCATTCCTTTCCTCATTCCCTTATTTGGCTATCCACTGTGCCTGGAGTCAGGAGGCAGGTGATGGGAGACAGGCTCAGGATACTGTCCTTGCATCCCCTTCCTGGTCCAGGCAGTGAGGACTCAGGCCTGGGCAAGACTGCCTGTCACTTGCCTCAGAGGACTGTTAAATGAGGCAAACCAGAAAAAGTGCTTTGCAGAGTAATTGACTCCTAAGACTGGCTATTATTACAGATGAGAATTGGCAGTGGCAGCCTCTGGAGGGAATAGGAGCTAAGAATTCTTCACCTGATCTCTGTTACCACATCTTCACTTCACATCCCCAAGTCTTCTGTTCTGAGGTGCAGAAAAAGTGGCTTTGTAAATGGACAAGATTGTTCATCCACTTTGGGTAATTTTATTCAGAACTTCAGCAAGAACAAAGATGATTCTTAAATACTTCTTGACTAAGTTACAAATCATGAAAATACACAAAATTTGCAGTTGAGATCAAACTGTAAAGGAAAATAAAATTTAAATAAATAAAATTATTGGTAAAAACACTGAGTTGAAAAACATAATTGTTTTCTTGGTCAGCGATCTCAACTTGTTCTTGAATTGCCATGGATTGCGAATACTATTTCTCTGATCAGAGTCCCTTAAAAAAAAAAAATCTTGTTCTCTCTGTAGATCTTACCCCTCGTAGAACAAGAGCTATAGATTGGTGACGTTTATTATATACATGTAGTTAATATATAAATTATTCTTTTCTGGCAAATGTGTATTTTGTTTGAGCACCATATGGTTTTGTGCAGTGTTTTTTTTTTTTCAGTCTTAGCAGTTTGTCTATTCAAAAATACAGGCAGGTTGATTTTTATAGAAATATCCTGGAGCTTTTACAGCCACAAAATTGGCTCCTATTTTGCCATTATAACTAGTAACTTGATAGAACAGAAAATTACTTCTGATTTTTATGTCTTAAGGTAAAATACATAGTTTTAATACATCACCAGGCAGGAGCTTGCTCTTTGTTTTAGATTCTTGTAATGTTTTATGCTTTCAAAAGGCATTTAGGAATTATAAAAATTAACTGTTTTAACTTGCTGGCAGGCAGGTGAGTGCTGCCTGCTGACTGGTTCGTAAGCCTCTCTCCACATAGAGCTTTAGAAGCCTGGAATTCATGCCAGGTTGGGGTACTTAAGGCCTTGTTCACTTTTAAATGAGGAGAATAGCAATGAGACCAGCTGTCAGAGCGGGAGCAATTTCCAGCTTAAAGGTAAAGAAATGATCACCTAAGGGATTTCTTTTCTCCTTTCTTTTCTTCCTTCCATTTTTTTGGTGTGTGTTAGTAGGAAAAATTAATATGACTTCCAAAGGTATTTAACGCTGAAGATATGTTTTGTTTTTAGAAAGTGGTTAAGTGTTTTCTTAAAGAAAGTGGTCTTTTATAAGATAACACACCAGAAGGAGATACCTAATAATTTTGATGTTCTGAGCATGTTTATTCTCTGTGCAGATATTGTTTGAGCTGTTTTCAAAGTTGTGAATTTGATGTTTTCATCATGCATTTCATGTGTGAGGTTTCAAGTTCATTACTCTCAAGCACTTATACCAATGAATTGAGAAGAGCAACATGAACAAAAGCATACACACATGGATAATCAAAATCCATTTTTGTTTGTCATTGAAGTACTCAGAGATTGTTTTCTTCAGTAGACTCACCTTTCTAATTATGTTCTTAGCTAACATTAACACTGGTTGACATGCCCTGACTTGGAAAAAAATGGAAGGGAATTAATTTCAGACTGTTATAAAATCCACCTAAATAATTTACAAACTAGATAATCCATATACAAATAAGACAGAGTTTACTGAATACCTCTTTGTATTAAAAGGTACATTTTTGATACGTGAAAGTAGAAAGTACTTGTTTAAACTACATGAGGTGTTTTTTTTTTTTTTTTCACATTGTGTGGGAAGTTACCTCTGCCTTTAATGAACCCTGAAGTTGTAAATCTCGTGTGTACATGTGTATGTTTGCCTTCTTTTTACCTGTGTCCTTTCAAACTAAACCAGCGCACACACTTACTATTCACAAGGAACGCAGGTGCTTAGGAGAAGATGGTCATCATAAGTGTGACTAAAACAGTTGTCATATGTATTCTCTGTAATGGTTAGTTTTAAAATAAAAAACAGAAAACTTGCAGAATTTTAATTTTGATGATCACATTTTTCCAATTCAAAAAGTTAAAGCTAAAAATATATGATGTCGAGGAGTAGAGATAGGACTAAATATTCAGTTACTTTTACACTGACACTGTACATTATATTTTATGTAGGGATCATTATTTGACCACCAGCATAACAGAACACCTTGTTAAGGAGTTACTGATGGTTTTATGTTTTGTTCAGATAATTAAGCCTGGTCTTCAAGTAAATTTGATGACTTCTGTGGTTATTTTTACAGTTACCTAAATGTGGCCCTGAAGTTCCTGTAGGCAGCTCTCTTGAAAACCACTGTGAAGAGGACTGTCTTATAATTGATGGGCGAAGGTTAAAAGCTGGAGAATGTATTGAAAATATAACTAAGAAGTTTAAAGAAATAGATGCTTTGATGTCTGAATTTTAAGGCAGTATAGATATTTTCAAAAGTTAATTATAAAAACATTTGCATCTTTACATCTTCCCAAAGTTAAAACTTAAAAATGTTTTGTGAAACATTTTACCAAAGTTGTTATTTATAACTTTGTACTTCGTATTTTTGAGAATATCCATTGTTTTGAGAGATAATCAGATGGTATTTAAGTTAATGTTGTAATTTCAGAATCTGAGAACCCTGGTATTTATATTTGTAGATTTTTTCTTATTTGCCTTAATTTTAGAATAGTTTATGAAACTTACTTCACAAATACATGCTTTATAATGATTTAATTTAGACCCTTTGTTTAAGTGTGGCTAACTGTTAAAATGACTGCCAATGCTATTATAATTCTTACAAATAATTCAGATCTAATATTCTTAAGAGAATGTATATTTGTAGTAGAAATAAGCTACTGCAAAATAAAAGGAAATAATAAGAAATGATTGTGTAATAGAGTTGGAGCTTTTCTTAAAAACAAAAATGTTAATTGCCTTATTATTTTGGAAACAATCGTTTCAACCACAGTTCCCAAACTGACTGGTTTTTTTTGTTTTTTTTTTTTTCCAAACTGACTGTTTAGTTGAGTCTGTGAAGGGTCTTTGGAAGATCAGAATCCTGGACCCTTCCTCCCTGAGTCAGAATCTCTGGAGGCAAGGATGGGAAATGTAATTTAAAATATAGAGATAAGTTAAACACCTTCACTGTGAAAAAATGTAAGCAGTATAGAGAAGTAAAAGGTACATCCTGCAGTACCACTCCCCTAACAGCCCCCTGGGAGCCCCATTCCTTAGGGGTCCCTGTGAACGGTCTGGTGGCTGTGCTTCTCAATCGGGTCCTTTGCTCATCAGATTGTGTGTGTGCACAACCACCTCCAACTCTACACTCTAGTTTTGGCTCCTTTTCTAGACTGCTCCCTCTCCCTGGGGGCAGGGGTGGGAGAAAGGGCATTCCAAGCACTTGAAAACCTGGAAACAAAGACCAAAGCTTGAGGAGAGAGGAAGAGGGAGCACCCAGGACTTGCTGGTGATTGAAGTGGCTGGAGTGCCGTGTGATGGGGGAAGGTGAGCATCAGAGCTGAGCCAGGCCTCTCCCCATCAACAGAGTGGAGGCTGCTGTGAAAGGAAAGGTAATAATCTACAGAAAGTGTAGGAAACAGTCTGAAGATGTGGAAAATACGCAGCTTATAATGGTGACTGTCACTGGCTCAGAGCTGTTCTCTTCTGACCACCCTGCCATGCTTCTCCAATGCCTCATAGACCAGCATGTTCCTTTCAGCAGAACCAGTGGTGATACACTTGCTTCTGCAGACCCTGGGACCAGGGGTTCTGTGTGATTAGCTGCCTCCTGGGCAGGCCTAGAGGTCAGCAGTACCCCACATTTAGAGCTAGAGCTTCTTGCTGGGCCCAAAGGAAAGCGTTGTAAGGAAAGTGCGGCTGCCTACCAGGGGAAGTTAAACCCTAAGTACACTAGTTATACTACACCAAGTTTAATATATGAGGTGTAAAGCAATATGTCACTGCCTTCCACTCAAGCATTTGGATTGGACTAAGAGCCCGTCTTTGTCCAGTTTGAGGAGGCTTCCTGCTTTCCTTTTTGGAATGAGTTGGGCCACACCATCCTAGTCTACAGCCTCTGTGAACTTATGGAAAGTCTGCATCCACTGGAAGTGTTGTCCCCGGTTAGATCTGCAGACCCTGGAGAGCTGAGCACCAAAGCCAGCTTGTTGCCTGTGTTCCAGGAAGACCTGGTCCATTTGCCCCAAGAAGCTGAATTTATGCAGTGATTTCCATTGGTAAGAGGCTTACTGCTATTTAGTTCCTAAGCTAAGTCCTACTCTTTGAGGCTGCATGGACTATAGCCCACCAGGCTTCTCTGTCCATGGAATTTTCCAGACAAGAATACTGGAGTGGTTTGCCATTTCCTTCTCCAGGGGATCTTCCCAACATAGGAATTGAACCCAAGGCACCTGCTTGGCAGGCAGATTCTTTACTGTCTGAACCACCTGGGAAGCCCGGTAAGAGGCTTAGCTCTATCTTTATTGGAGACAAACTGTGTACTTTTAATGGATTCATCTCTTTTGCCTCCAGTGCATGTATGTATTTGCAGACATCTGTAATGTCTATAGCCTTGGCCTTACTGACTTTGCAGTGGCAGGCGATGGCCCACAGACAGTTAATGCATCCACTGTAGACCTGGGTGCTGTCATAAACTTTCTAAATAAGTCTAGTTTTTGTAGAAAGAATTGGCAGTTCACTCTTTCTAGAGGAAACTTGCATACAGGTACCTGAGGTGACCTATGTAAAGTGTACCTCTATCAAATAGCTGGTAATCCCTGTCTCCACCGTATACTGTGGCTGACAGATGGTAGACTTCTGTTCCAGATACTCCCAGACCAGTAGAATCTGCACCTGTGGCCCTGCCAAGGAACAGTGGTAAGATTTTGAAAATTCTCAAAATAATGAAGTCCTGCTCTGTCATTTCTCTCTGTTGGGTCCCAACAGGAGACACAGTACAACTTAAGAATTCTCATATTTCTTTAGGGCTGAACCAATTCTTGATGCCTCTCCATAGAGTTCTAGAAGAGTTGGCCAGTACAGATAAACTTGATCTTAAGGTCCAAGTGGGACATTTGCCCAAGTGGGCAAATCTGAATATTAGGATTTTCCATCTTATGATTTGTTGCATGGCAAAAACACTCAAAGTGGTGAGCAACATAATCAAAGAGAAAAATTTTGAAAAAATGAGTTGTTTGCTTTTAAATTCATATAGCAAATTACAAGGAAGAGACATGCTCAAAACAAAAACCAAGCAAAACAGTAAGAGAAAACCAAATACTGTATACTGATGCAGACATGTGGAAGGAATCTGAAAAAATTGATATACATAACCTTATTTACAAAGTAGAAGTAGACACAGACATAGAGAACAAACATAGAAAACAAGGGGAGATGAATTGGGAGACTGGGTTTGACATATCTATACTGTTGATACTATTGATGTGTATAAAGCAGATTGCTAATGAGAAGCTACTATATAGCACAGGGGGCTCTGCTCACTGCTCTGTGGCGACCTAAATGGGGAGGAAACCCAGAAAAGGGGGTATGTATGTGCATGTATGGCTGCTTCACTTTGCTGCACAGCATAAACTAACGCAACATTGTAAATAACTACACCCCAATTAAAAAACATTGCGAGCAGCCCAGAAGTTGCTACTTAAAAATAAAACTGTTATCTTCAGCCAATAAAGGCAGGAAAAGATTTTTTAATTAAGACATACTGTGGGGAGAAAGGTTAAATCCAGGAAATGGTTGCTGAATTGTATAGCGAGACAAAGACCAAATTCAGGTGACTTGCAGGAAAACATGGCTTCAGGGCAAAGACCCAAACAGGGGTGTGGCTGTAACACTGCAAAATATGACAGGATGACATTTAGTAGATCTTCCAGTTGGACAGAGGCCTGGGTCCACTGCCACAGGATGTACTCAAAGTGCTAGTAATTCAACCTGGAGAGAAGCGTATCTTGTGAAAAAAAATGTGATTTTTACACATGGGATGAACTTCAATCAAATACATAGAAAATCCACTAAGTTGTAGAGAAAGTGACACTATCAAAGTCCTACCAGCCTGAACTAAGAGAAACTGAAATGTTTACGAGGCAACAAAGACCTCTGAGCCCCTGATTTTCTTCAGGTGGGAAGCAAGCTGGGAAAACTTAGCTACCCAAAACAGGTGTAAGTTTCCGTGTCCTCTTAGGAAGCCACAAGAAACATGAAGACAAGGTGTCTCAGAGGACAGAGCATGGACTGGGGGTCTCACCCCTCCCCTTGACCCCACTGTCCCTCCCTTTCCTTGAAACAGAACTAAGAATCAAGAAACACTGCCTTTAATGGCATATATAGGAAAACAGTCTAAAAGGAGTGGCTATATGTATAACTGATTCCTTTTCCCGTACACCTGAAACTAATACAGCATTGTAAATCAACTATATTTCAATAAAAAATATATACGTATATAAAAATTTAAAAAGCCACTTCCGACTTCCATGGCAGGGAAATTGGTCTACTTTGCCTAGAAGGATTTCAGATTTGCTGAAGATCAAGTTTCTGCTCTCTGAATGGGAGTGGCTATTGTGGTTATCTGTCCCCATTGCACTGTTGCTTGTTGCGTAGGTGTGGGAGGGGGTGGCCAGTAACTTGTACTTTCAGTTCTCAGATCCAGTTCATTTCTGTACCATGTGTTCTTCATGGAGTCCTAAATGCTGCGCCTGATGCCACGACTGGGTGAGACTTCCTTGGGTGGAGGTGGGGATGTTTTTCACATTGGAGGGATATGAATAACGTGGTCATGGAGGTGGGCAGAAGTTGACTGGATCATTGGCCCAATTCTTTGTGCCTTCTTGCATCATGGCCTCATTATGGGCAGCCTGTACTTCCCTGCCTTGTGACATTGGGCTTGGCCTTTTGCTTTTGCTCCATGAAATAGGGCTGAAGGGATGGTGCCAGTTTTTAGCAAGGCCTTTTGAAGCTTTGCATGTTTCTTCTTTTCCTCTGTGCTTCTGCCATTACCCTGAGAGAAACAGGTCCCAGTAAGCCCTCTGGGAGGGGAGAGACCAAAGTGAGGACTCAGACCCAGTGATCTACAGAAGGAAGAAAAGTTGCCCCGGGAACTTGAGAGCCATAGGATAAAGGGTTAGTGCTCTCGGCCACTGAGTTTGGGGTGGATTGCCACACAGCATTATCGTGGCCATAGTTCTCTGACACTTGGCTTCTTGGTCCCAGCAACAATCTCACAGACCAGCTGTGGTGTCTGCCTCCTAACTGTACCCACAGCACTTTCTCCTTAGGCTGGAACTACTGTCAAAATAGTCCTGCCTCCTGGGTGGACCCGGAGTGCTGGCCTGAGGTCTCCTGCCCGTGACCTTCCGGCTACGCCCAGACCTGGCCCAGACTGGTCCCTCAACTGGGAGGGCTCAGCCTGCCCCTGCCCTG